TAAGAGACAGTGTTTTTGGAAATTAAATGTTTTAAGGCAAGTTCTTTCACTCCTATCTATTTTCCCTTTTCTTTGAAATATGAGTATCCATTTCCCCTTGAGTCCCCAGTTCCCCCGTCTTTCAGCCCTTTTATCCTTATTCAGTCTTTATTGAACTATAATTTGCATATAATAACATTCACACAGGTTTCAGTGCCATGTGGAATGCATGCAGGTGTGGAACCACTGCCCCAATCACGATATAGGAACTTTCAGCTCTCTGGAAGGTTCTCTAGTGCCTCTTTGCAGTGGGTCTCCCTTTGCAGGTCGCACATCCCCTTGGATCATTAATTTTATATATATATGTGTGTGTGTGTGTGTATATATATTTATACCTGAGACAAAGCATTTTATAAACTGAAGGTAATGCTCGTGCACTTTAGGGTCCTTTCTGAAAGGCTGTGTGAGGGCTCTGGAGAGATTAAGGAAATTGGAGGCAACTCCTTTTCAAGGCAGTTATATAAGTTTTTACTCTTTGTGGTTGTAGGTGGTGGTTTTAATCTGCCTCGGATTCACTGAGTGGGAGGATTATCCTTAACTGCACAGTCAATAATTATCCGTGTGTCCTTTAAAGTTTATTTCTGCTCTCATAATAGTTGATTTAATAATAATGCGTTTCTGGCACTTTACTTACTTGTATTAATGAGCTCGAGGAGTCTGACGGCGGTCCCGTTATTACCCATGTCTCGATGAGGACACTGAGGAACAGTCACGTGTGACCTTGACAGATAAAAAGGACTAGAGTTAGTTTCTCGGTGTGAAATGTAAGATAAATGAAATTAAAAGCTTCCTAGGAAATGTGTGTTATTAATCGAAGTGGTACCCTTAGGAACTTAGTGCTGCTCTTGACGCACGTGATGTTCTTGGACAGTGACACCCGTGGCCACGGTTGAACGCCATGACAGTTTCAGTTCTGCATTCCTGACCTTGACCGCCTAGCATCCCTATGCCTGTTTCCCTGGTTCCTGCCTTCATCTTCTCCTTTTGGGTCACCCTGCCTTTAGTCCCCTGCATTGTGGTCAGGGTGATCTTTCCAACAAGCAGTCCTGGTCATGCCACCTTCCTGATTAAAATTCTCCAGTGGTTCACTGTGCAATAAAATGTGAGCTCCTCGCCTTGTTCAGCCGTGAATCCTGCTGCTCCCTCCACTGCCCACCCTCAGTCCAGCTAGTCTTCATTCTCCAAAGAGCCTGTACTTTCTCACATCCCGCACACAGGAACTGACTGTTTCTTCTCTCTGGAAAATGCACTCACTTCATCTGTCATCCTGTCTGACAGTTCAGTTCAGTNGAAGTCCATTTCCTCCACTAGCTTTGTTCATAGTAATGCTTCCTAAGGCCCACTTGAATTCAAACTCCAGAATCTCAGGCTCTAGGTGAGTGACCATCCCATCATGGTTATCCAGGTCATTGAGATCTTTTTTTGTATAGTTCTTTGGTGTATTCTTGCTACTACTTCTTAATCTCTTTGGCTTCTGTTAGTTCTCAACTCTTTCTGTCCTTTATTGTGCCTGTCCTTCCATGAAATGTTCCCTTGATATCTCTAATTTTCTTGAAGACATCTCTAGTCTTTCCCATTCTGTTGTTTTCCTCTCTTTCTTTGCATTGATCACTGAGGAAGGCTTTCTTATCTCTCCTGGCTATTCTTTGGAACTCTGCACTCAGATGAGTCTGTCTTTCCTTTTCTCCTTTGTCTTTAGCTTCTCTTCTTTTCACAGCTATTTGTGAGGCCTCCTCAGACACCCATTTTGCTTTGTCAGACAGCCTGTCTGACAAGCAGACTGTTATTCATCCTCCAGAACTGGGCTCATGTCTTCCTGGATCAGCTCTGACGGACGTCGGCAGTCTTCCTTTCACTTTCCACTGCCCCTTGTGTCGAGCTGCTGGTGTCCCATTATTTCATGACTGTCTTATTCCTTGTCTATGGTTTGCTAATCTGTGGCGCCTTGGAAGGCAGCACCTTTGTCTTTTCAACTTGGCATTTCTTGCCTAGCTCAGTACCTGGGCTCCCTGTCCCAGACCACCGCATACCATGCAGACAAAGAAGACACCTTATATTAGTCAACAGTGATAAGCCCAGTGTCTTGGTATAAGATCTATCCTGTAGTAGGTGTTCAATTAATATATGTTGCAAGATGAATAGTGGGCGCTTTTAAGTATCTGATTGCATGATGTAACCCAGGGGTTGCCACTGAAGGCCCGTGATATAATCAATCCATGGACATACTTTGTGTGGCCACCCAGTATTTTTAAAAGTTTTAAAATTTGACACCTCTCCTGTTATTTTGCTCTTGGTCAGCTTCCTCATTTATTATCTGCCTGGTCCTGGAACATATAGTTGGGAGTACAGAGAGATGGGTAGTGGTTTAGATCACTATGGCTACAATAAAAAAATACCATAGACTGGGCTTTAACAAGAGGGATTTATTTTCTCACAGTTCTGGAAGCTGGAAGTCCAGGATCAAGTTGTTGGCAGGTTTGATTTCTGTTGCGGCTTCTGTCCTTGGCTTGCAGATGACCACCTTCTCGTTGTGTCCTCACATGGTCTCCCCTTGGTCTGAATGTGAATATGTCCTAATCTCTTATAAGGACACCAGTCAGACTGGGTTGTATGTGTGTTAGTGGCTCAGGCGTGTCCGGCTCTGTGTGACCCCATGGACTGTAGTCCGCCAGGCCCCTCTGCCCATGGGATTCTCCAGGCAAAAATACTGGAGTGGGTTGCCATGCCCTCCTCTAGGGGATCTTTCTGACCCAGGGATCAAACCCTGTGTCTCTTGTGTCTCGGGCATTGGCACGCAGGTTCTTTACCACTAGCACCACCTAAATAGAAGCTAAGAATGATTCTAGGCACTATACTATAACTATAGTACTATGGCAGGGTTCAGTCTCCTTTTTGTGACACCATAAACTGTAGCCTGCTGGGCTCCTCTGTCCATGGGATTTCTCAGGCAAGAATACTGGAGTGGGTTGCCACTTTCTACACCAGGGTGTCTTCCTGACTCAGGGATCGAACCCACATCTCCTTTGTCTCTTGCACTGTCCGCAGATTCTTTATCCGCTGAGCCAGTGAGCAACTTTAGGGCCCACCCATGTGACCTCTTTTCACCTTAATTACCTTCTCAAAAGGCATCTCTAGATACTGTCACATTCTGAGGTGCTGAGGCGGGGATGATGTCAGCACTGCAACATGTGAATTTGGGAAGAACACTGTTCATCTTAAAATAGGCAAGAACGTGAACGTTCAGGTGCTGTGGTCTCCGCCTTGTGGCTGATGAGTGTTGCAGAACTCCAGAGCCTTCCGAGAGGGCAGTTTGCTCACTGAGGCAGAATCTGGATAGATAGAGCATGCACCTGCCCTGACACCTAATCTCTGCTCTGATCACTGTCATCTGGGGATCATATTCAGGTTTCTTAAACAACTGACATTTAGGTAAAATGCCAGGTAGAACTTAGGTGCTTTTCAGTTTGGTAATACACACCTTTTCATTCTGTTCACTCCGAAAGCCGACGTGCAGGCTGCAAACTGTCTTTGCCAAGGGTTGGGTGGACAGTTGGGAAAAGCTCTATAATGACATGGCACCTCCTCCGTTTGCTGTAAGCAAACAGCCGGATCCTTTATTACCCTTGAAACCTGCACTCGTGACACAAGTTGGGCTCAGAAGCAAGTCAGATGCCAGCTTTCTGGGTCAAAGTTCCTTCAAGCACTGTATGTTAATCAAAAGCTCAACCTTGGTTAATGAGGCCATTGAGTTGGGAAGAACTTTGGAACAAATGATTACCTGTTTCAACTAGAGGAGTTAGCAGAACTCAGTGTTTTGTTTCCCAGAGGTAGGTTGCAGACTTAGTCTTTCTTGGAAAGGGAGGGAGCGAGACTCCTGTGCGGTTTTTTTAATTCTTGGTGGACTAGTAGCATGATGAAGTCCGCTGTACAGAACCTAGTTAATCAAATGCGTTTACGTAAAGATGACGCTGAATACTTAAGGAATATTGTTCATATATGGGCAGAAAAGCCAGCTGCAAAGGGCTTCCGGTAAAGAAATATTTTGAAACGCTAACAGCTCACAGACTTCAAACCATCTTGAGTGTTTGGTGCTTTACCCTAAAAGACCACACTTAATGTGCCCCTGCAGAAACCAATTTAAAGGAATATAATAATCATAGCTGCCCTCCATTGGATGGTCTCTCTCACGGGGCCCTAAGAGGTTCATAGCCCTTCATAGCCCTGTTGTCTTGTTTGTTGTCAGCGTCCCTAACAGGTGGATAGCAGGCTCATATTGGATGAGAAAAAGAAGGATCAGAGAGGTTGAGTAAAAGGTCCAAAGTCTCCAAGCTAGCAAGCAGTAGAGCAGAGTTTGAACACCTAGGGAAATCCATGAGCTCCCCCTCCCAGTTGCACCACCTCTTTATATGTTTTCCTCTTCTCTCCTTGTCAGAGTTGAGATGTTTTTCACTTGAATACCCTTTGGTGCAGCATCTTTATCGCTTACAGCCATGTCCGCCTCTTTGCAGCCCCATGGACAGTACCCTGCCAGGCTCCTCTGTCCATGGGATTCTCCAGGCAAGAATACTGGAGTGGGTTGCCCTGCCCTCCGCCAGGGGATCTTCCCCACCCAGGGATCGAACCTACATCTCTTTCGTCTGCTGTACTGGCAGGCAGGTTCCTTACCACTGCGCCACCTGGGAAGCCCTGAATATACTTTAGTCAATAGCAACCCGAATAGCCTTGTGGAATTGGCAAAAGGACATGACCTATTTTCTCCATGTATGTGAGCCAGTGCAGATCTCGTGTACTGACTGGTTATGTAGCTTTCCCCGTAATCAGTGCACACACAAAAGGTGTGTCGTAATCCAAGCGCCACATTTCTCCTCTTTCCCACCTCCCCTCCGTCCACTTAGCCGTCATTAACTGCACGCTCCTCGTTAGCCATCTCTGGGTTAACGGTGTTATCTTTTCCATTTCAGAGTTCGGGTAACAACGGCATCAGGACACCTTGTGTCGGGTCCCCTGGCAGTGAGCAGCCACTCCCGGGCTCGCCGAGGAGGTTTGGTAAGTCATCTGACTCCGTCTTCCCTTCAAACAAGCATCACCGAGCGTTGGAGAAAAGTAGGTGAACATTACCTAGTGACACCAAATGTTAACCCTCTCTCTCTATCGTTGTTTGTGTACTTCAAAGGTTATTCCGTTCATCTTTGACTGCGCTGGGTCTTCGTTGCTGTGTGGGCTCCCTAGTTGTGGCGAGCCAGGGCTGCTGTCTAGTTGGCTGCGTGGGTTTCTCATCGCGGTCGCTTCTCTTGCAGCGGACCACGGGCTCTAGGGCACAGGCTCAGCAGTTGTGCTCTGTGGCATGTGGGATCCTCCTGGATCAGGGGTTGGACCCACATCTCCCGCACTGACAGGCAGATTCTTTACCACTGAGCCACCAGGGAAGCCCTTCTCTCTCATTTTTTAACCAACATTGATTGTTTTTTGCTTCTGGACATTTGCTTAATTTACTAGGCCAGAGTGTCCTGTATGTTTATAAGTACTGTTGGCCCCAGAGGACTCCCATAGTAAAAAAAATGACCAAGGCTATATGTGAATGACTTTGCTTGAAGTCTTTTCATACTGAGTTTCTCCTGTAGTTCACTGCATTTCATAACTCTAAAAATAATTTCCCCTCATAATTTAACATGTCTAAAGTGGGGATGCATGTTGCGGAGATTCTGATTTGGTGAAATACAGCATTCTTCTAATAACCCCCAGATGACTAGCATTAAGTGTTCTCTGTGTCCTATTTTTCACAAAGTGCAAATGCCTTCAGAAACTAGTATCTTTGTTACTCCATATGATGAGACGAGTAGCCCGTGGGCCTCTTTAGTAGTGGTGCTGGCTTTCAGAACAGCCCATGTGGTCTCATGGAACAGTCAATTAGATAGCAGATCCTAGAACTCTCTTATCCAGCACCTGCTTCCTCTCCAGTGCTTGGCATCGTGACGTTTACAAGTAAGATGCTCTATTTTGGAATATTTCGCCCCAGAATGATTTGTCAGGATGATTTATGTGTGCATGAGTGCTTGTGCTAAGTCACTTCAGTTGTGTCCGACTCTGCAACCCTATCGACTGTAGCCGGCCAGGCTTCTCTGTCCATAGGGATTCTCCAGGCAAGAATACTGAAGTGGGTTGGCATTTCCTTCTTCACATTTATGTGTGAATGAGTCCAAATTCACATTCATGTTAAATGCATGGGTAAATAGCATCTTTGTAGAGTATAATGCCACAGTATGGATTGGATTCTCCAAATCACATGGATCTGATTTATATAGATTTTAATGTTTTCAGAACCTCTATATTGTAGGGAGCCATATGTGATAGTATTTTAACCCTAAAGTCGGTGGGTGAATCAGTTAACCGAGGTTTTCCCTAGCACAGTGCCAGGCTCTGTGCTAGATGCTGGGTAATTAAGACAGAAAAGATTGGTTTTCTGCCCCCAGGAACCTGGTCTAGTAGTCAAAAAGAAAGTGAAAGTCATGTCTGATTCTCCAGGCCAGAATACTGGAGTGGGTAACCACTCCCTTCTCCAGGGGATCTTCCCAGCCTCGGGATCTAACCCAGGTCTCCCACACTGCAGGCAGATTCTATACCATCTGAGCCACCAGGGGTAGTCAGGGCAGACAGTAAATAATGAAAGAGTTGTGAGTGGGCTGAAGAAGAATTATAAAGAATTAAGAGAGGACCTACTTTGAATGTTAGTGCAAGGAGTGACATCAGGGAAGGTTTCTTGGAATTTCAGTGCTGTTTTAACTGGGACCCAAAGAAGAAGGAATGGTTTACTAGGCATGGGAGGCTGGGGGCAGGCAGTAGCGACTTGTCAAATGAGGAGTGTCTGGAGGGTTTCAAAATGGGCCAGTGAGCATCAGGTTCAAGAAACAAGCATGAACCTAATGAGGAAAGAAGTAAAGGAAAGTGTCTTCAGATGAACAGATGTCAAATTCTGGAAGANTGAGTAACTTAATTGACAGCTTTAGAAATTCACACCTGTGCATTTAGACATGTGCACATACCACATACCATACGGAACCCTAGTTCCATTGAATTGACCAAACTTGCTGGTTTCTTAGTCATGAATGAATTTGATGTCATTTTTGAGAGATCTATTGAGTGTAGGGGCTGACCAGGGCTAGATATATCTTTTTAACAGAACTTCTAATTTTATTTTTCAAGATTTTTCTACCTCAGTTTGAGATAAGATTGATCTGTTTTTCCCATTCAGAAAGAAAGGGAATCACTGGCCATGATTGATATATAGAAATTTAAACTTTTAGTATGAACTTTTGGTGACCTCTTTGGCCTGTCCTCTTAAAAAGTTGACATCTAGGTCATTATCTGATTTTTCTCAAGTCACAGGAAGTGTGTGCACCTCCATCAAGATAGGACATCAGGTGGTGGACATTCCTAGGAAGGGCAAAGGGGGAAAATTGCAGAATTTCTGGTGACCTTTAAGTAAAATAGAATAGACCTTTAAGAAATATTTTGAGTGCTGACCTTTCCTAGTCATCATAGCCTAGATTTCCATTCCAAGTAAGTTAATAAATTCTGGAGTGGATATTGTTTAACCTGTAAGCTGAAGATGCATGTTACTTTTGAAAAGGAGGGAAAGGTTAACAGTGTAATATACTGTTTTCTTTGCTGAAATGACTCTTCATGTTCCTTTACTGATGATTTCATTTGATGAGATCACAAATTTCTTAGAAGCAATTTTCCTCAAATCCCTAAAAATTACCAGAAGGGCTACCTTCTGGAAAATGATCTTGCCATCATTTTGTTTTGAGAAGGCATGCTATAACTCAAGTAGGACTTAGGCTCCTTACAGTCACCTCACTCATGTGGTCCATATGAAGGGAAGTTGCTAAAGAAAAGGTACACAAAAGACCAAGCAAGTGAGTAGAAACAAATTCTCTTTCATTTGCTCAACTACAAATGGGGACCTTCACAGAATGGCCCCAGGCTGCTGAAGTCAGTCTCCAAAGGCAGGTTCTGATTGGGACTTTTATGCTTCTTCTGAAAATAGATGTTTTTTCCCATCGCACGTTACTTCTTAGTATTTACTTTGTACCATATAACTTATTACTGCAGAGACGGGGAAAAAGGCCCATAATTTAATTTGATTCAGGTTAATAAACTTAAAAGTACTCCTTAATGAAAGATGCTGGGGCAGGAGTGTGAGGATTACAACGATGGTTCAGACATGGCCCTTGCCCCAGGAGAGTTTCAGGAGGAAAGCTAAGCCGTTTAGTGATGCTGTGCTGTGTTTAGCTGCACAGTCATGTCTGACTCTTTGCAACTCCAGGGACTGTAGCCCGCCAGGCTCCTCTGTCCATGGGGATTCTCCAGGCAGGAATAGTGACGTGGGTTGCCAGGCCCTCCTCCAGGGCATCTTCCCAACCCAGGGATTGAACCCAGGTCTCACACATTGCAGGCAGATTCTTTACCATCTGAGCCACCAGGGAAGCTCAGAATATTGGAGTGGGTAGCCTGTCCCTTCTTCAAGACATCTTCCCAACCAAGGAATCAAACCGGGGTCTCCTGCATTGCAGGCAGAATCTTTACCAGCTGAGCTACCAGGGAAGACCATTTAGTTATGAGAAAATGTTAATAAAGCAGGAATGAATCAAGTAACAAGCAACGTCATAACTCATATATTTAATGTATTTTTGAAAATGCAGTAGAAGTTAATGAGTCTCTTTTCTCATCTATATTCAGATTTACCAGAGAACAAATTTACCACTTTCTTGTCTAGACCTCTTGTCTCCTTTTGTTTTGTCTGATATCTGATCCAGTTTAATAAAAGTGCTAATTCAGGTATGGGCTGGCTGGTGTTGAGAATTTATGCAAAAGTAACTTTTTGTGTAGCCAAAGTCCTTTGCTATTTATAAAGACTAATGGTGATATATGCCAAAGAAATTTCCAAGACTTGGTATCAAAGCAGTTACGCCCAACTCACACTTAGCTTGTTGTGGATATAATCAACCAGTGTCTTCACGACATGTCATTCCTGTAATTAAGATGATCCTGAGGTGTGTTTTCTGGATCCAAATCAACATACGTTAGGAAAAACTGGTTTTCTTAAGGAAAAACTGGGTTTAATGGGGAGTTTGTGGCTAATCCCAAACTGATAATTTCTCTTACTAAAATTATTTCATCACCTGGACAAAAGTTTCACAGAGCCAGTAGTTCCTTTGGCAACCTGCTTGATGACTTGCTATTTGCAAAACAAGGTTACCCATTTTCAAAAAATGAAAAGGTGACGAGGTGGATGTAGGCCATGATTCAACCAATAACATCATGGCGGATGTTTGCCTACAAAAGGAGGACTGTCTTCCTAAAAGGAAGAGATTTGTTCCCATCATGGACGAAGAAAAAGAAAGCTATGGGCATCAACAGGATGTGTGTCTTTTGGCAGAATGACGATCAATGATGGCATTATGCTCTGTAGGAGGGTATTGGTATGGTGGAAAGCAAAGAGAACATTTCACGGTTATGAGGCTAACATCTGTGGCTAACGTCAGCATTGAGCCTTTAGGCAAATTTCATGGGCAACACTCAAATGTCAACACCGAAGTTTCCAAGAACAACGTCTTCATACCCGACATTAGACAAGCATCAGAATTATGCTGAGTAGGGGTGGGGGCTGATGTTCAGGCAGTTTGCCCCCAGGTGTTAGCAGTTGGGTGCAGGTGCAGCAGGGACAGATGGAGGCAGAAGATCTGACATTCACTTCAGCCAGGTTCGCAGGTGTCTGTGCTGCCCAGAAATAACAGTAACAAGAACTACATTGCTTTCATCAAGAATGACCCACGTTCTGTGCCTGCAAAATAAGTGACATCATTTTGAAACTAAAACTAGCATCTGCAACATATAAGGGACAGCTTAAGCAAAGAATGAAGTAGTTATTGAAGAGTCAGGAATGAAGGGAGCTGAATCCAGTCTGGGCCTTTATTTAAATCTTAACTTTTGTTCAGTCGCTCAGTCGTGTCCGACTCTTTGCGACCCCATGAATTGCAGCACGCCAGGCCTCCCTGTCCATCACCAACTCCCGGAGTTTACTCAAACTCCTGTCCATCAAG